ATATATATATATATATATATATATATATATATCTATATATATATATATACTTATATAGTCCATCTCAATCCCCAAACCCCTATAAACCCCGGTAGTTTTTTTCAGATTGCTAGGAGGACTTTCTTGATGGTAGAAAATGTTTGCCATGTCCTGATATGGAACAGGAGCCGCCTACGGCACCAGCAGGGGCACGAAGGCTGGGCGGGCGCGGGCACGCCCACAGCCACTAGCGTGTACAAAAGGGAGAGGGAGAGACAGAGACAGACAGAGAGATTGCGTGTTTTTTTCTGCTATTCGATGTTCATGAAATTATTTGTTGACCTGCTTGTTTAATGATGTGTGTATGTTTTACGAGTAACGAGTAGTTTCTTTTGCTTGTGTCGTCATAGTTGTCTAAACTGTTCAGTGCTAGTGTGCTAGGCAAAATTTGATTCTTGCTGGCCCAGACTTTATCGGCTTCTTAGGGCGATCCCAAACCCTGAACCCTGCCAAGAAAATCCGGCGACATTCCCTCTGGCGTGTGTAAGTCATGTCTAGAAGGTAGAGGTAGGCTGGCTTTTCATGATCAAGGGTTTAAAGCCCTAAACCCTAAACCCTGAATCCTAAACCCTAAACCCTTAAAACTAATCTCCTCACCTTGAACACTTTCCCTAGGTATCTAAGGACTCATATATTAAGGCTTTTGTGCCCAAAGACCATACTATATAAGGCTTTTGGGCTATTTTGATCCCTAGGGCTTATTCCAGAACCCCGTGTGTTGTCTTTCAGCTTCCGTTGCTACGGCTTTGCTGAAACCCGACGGACGCGAAGCTACCTCGCAGTTGTAGCACGTATGAGGGTTCACAGTCCTTTCGTTGGGGTTTAGGCTCTCGCAGGTGCTACTGGTATGCTGTACCCTAATGCCAAGTGTCCAACGACGGACCGGTACTTGGATGCTTAAGGTGAGCCCTGAACCCACAATGTGTGTCTTTGATTACACAACCCTAAATCCTCAAACCCTGCACTCCGGATAGAGACCTTTCAAAGAAACGTTTAAAAGAACCCTATATCATAGTAACCTTAGAGGAACCCTTCAAAGGAAGCCTTAAAGGAACCCTTACAGAAACCCTGCGGGGTCAGGACGCCTCACGTCGATCTCGTGGATCCACGTGTGGATGACCTGTTGAGGCCCTTGAGCTTCCGAGCATGCTTGATTTTTAACAGTTTAGGGTTTAGGGTTTCAGGGTTTTAGGGTTTTAGGGTTAGGGTTAGGGTTTTAGGGTTTCAGGGTTTTAGGGTTTCAGGGTTTTAGGGTTTTAGGGTTTGTAGGGGAGGAGAGGAAATTTCTCTGGCTCGGGATGAGTATAGGAATTCACAGCATTTCGGTGTTTTAGGGTTTTGGGCCTTTCGGGGCGGTGGAAGCCAAATAGTGTATACCCAGAGGGTCCAAGTACTCCTTATTATGGGACTTTGAAGCCTTCTTCAGTATCAAAAGCCATAATTTAAGGACCAATTGGACCCTGAGGGATAGGACTTACGAGCATTTCCAGGTTTTTGGGTAGGGCAGTACCTTGAGAGTTCCCTTGAGTTAAGGGTACCTTCGAGTTTTTACTATAGGGGCTGTCTGCTGGTATTTCGGGTTTTCGGCTTTTGATGCTTTTCAGGATTTTGTAGTTTAGGGTTCAGAAGGATGTGCGGTTCAAGATTACTTCAAACTTTAGCAGGATCTACGGCTGTAGGATCTATGATTCTTGGGTTTAGGGTTTTCGAATTTCTGCTTTTGCGGTTGAGGGACACTTTAGCTTTAGGGAAGCCGTTCCTTGGTTCATTTTTCAGCCCTCTGGCCCTTGGCGCTCACACCCGGGCCCAGGCATCCTCTACTTAGAGGCCCAGCGGACTTAGTAAGGTTCCTTAAAGGGCTCCTTAAAGGGGATCTATAAGGGTTATATAAGGGGGCTTTAGGGTTTCTTGGAGGCCCAGGGGACTTGGTAAGTCGGTTATAAGTAGGATCCTAATTCGGGTAACTCCAATTAGCGGACGTATAACCCTACTTATAACTTACAAGTCCTGGGGGCCTCTAGCAGCTCCTCTAAGTAGGCTAACTACACTAGTGGAGTAGGTAATCCACGTCGCGCTTTAACCTTTTTTCATTAAGGTGCTATCCCCACATAATCCACATAGTGGACAAGTAGGTAGCCTTTTCGGTGGACTTTCCCTACATAATCTGCATACGGGACAAGAAGGTAACCTTGTCGGTGTACTGTCCTTATATAGCCTGCATACTAGACAAGCTGCATAGTTATCGTGGTCGGAATGATTGGTTAGCTTACTCCTCCGCTAGGCTCCTGCATATGATTGCGCCCCAAAGCTCTACTCTAGTCCCATTAATATATTCAAGCTCCTACGTAAGGCATGTTTAATTTTAGATGCTTCCGGAAGAAGTGTTGGAACTCCCAGGCCTCAAAAACTGTACCCTAAACCTCGTTTTGACCTCTCAACCTTTAGCCATGTCTCCCCTCAAAAAACCACGATAAACGCTTAGTGTTTTTATGTGTGCTGTTGTGCAAAAGTTGCGTCCGGTACAGACTCGGTGTGTACTTTCAGAGACCGCGAAGACACAGAACTGCAGCGTTCTTGGCTCACCTGCAAAGCAGCTAGCGGAGCGGTTGGCAAAGGCCCGCCCAGATTTGCATGTGTTGGATGTCCTTGCATAAACTTGTACTGTAATAGCTGAGTTGGTGTAGGAATCAGGGTTTTGGAGGTTCAGGGTTTAGGGCTTTGAGGGTTAAGGGTGTTCCACAGGATTGTTGTGTTTGGGTTTTCCTCGTAGCTGAGTAGGTAATCTTTCTCTTCTGACCTTGTGGGTATATGGGGGTTTCAAGAGCTTCGGATGCCCTAACCTAAACCCGAAACACTAGACCCGATAAGCCCTACAAGCCCTGAGCTCTTACTAGATCCCATCAACTTAAACCCTAACACTGAATGAACACTAAACCGTCTCTCTAAAACGGATCAACGCCTTTCGGGTGAATGTCTCGGCTTCGAGAGCGGTTGAATCCCTATTTGGAGGCAGTGGTGTTCCTTCAAGTGGGTTCTATCAGGGGCCAGGGGGTTTAGGTATACTTAAAGGCCCAGGGGACTCATTATTGCATCGGTTAATTCTACGTATGGCTGTAATCGGGGGAACTCATGGGAACTCCGGTCCATTTAGGGTACTTATAACTCTACTTATACCTTCTCTTCGTCCTAAACCCAAGGCCCCAAACCTCAACCCTAGGGCGCTAAACCCTAAACCCTAGCACCCTAAACCCTAAACCCTCGGCCAGAGCGAAGAGAGGGCTCAGGGTGACACCCCCCTCAATGTCGAGCCATAAGGATCGGGAGGTTTGCTCGCAACCTCGGGGACCTCCCTGAGCTGGGCGATATACGGAAGTTCCCAGAGAGCCCAATACCCCTTAATTAAGGAATATAGCTTAAATCATAATATGAAGCCCTATATAATTTAAGCCATATTTCTTAAGCCCCTTTTTGGGTCCCGAATATAGTACGGCACCTAATACTTAGGGTTCCCAAAAAGGGACCATAGTTTTGACAACCACCCACATGGCCCGGGACTCGTACATCTCTCATCCTCTGTCAGTCCTGCCTTGCTGCGCTATCCCCTGCGCCTCTAAGTATAGAACCCATCAAAACCCTATAGAACCATTTCCTTTGACAAGCCCCTCTAACACCCTTGTTAAGCCCTTATAAACCCTAGTCAGAGCCTTAATCCAAGAGCATGAGTACTGGAGTTCTCACATGAATCTATCAAGAAAAGTCAGAAAGTCCACAGCACGCAATACCAAAGCAAGCAAAGGAAAAACCAGCTACGTAAACCCTAAACCCTGAACCGCATCAGCCCCAAGCCGCACCCACACGCCCCAAAAGCCTCAACGCCCAAAGTCTGACAACAGATCCAATAGCCTCTGCTTTCAGGCGATAGGGTTTAGGGTCGAGAAACGCTGAACCCTAAACCCTAAACCCCTAAACCCCAAGCGCTGAACCCCAAACCTTAAACCTGCAGATGTTGCACTGACCCCCGCAAACATTAATCCGGAACCTTGGGCTGAAATTGACTAAAGGTATCATAGAAGGGCCTCAACAAGTAGAATAGGGGTGCTTTAGTGGGCTCCTTTAAAAAGATCTTTATAAGGCTTCTATCAGGCATTTTAAATTTTAGGTATAGGGGCGTTAATAAGTACCTATACGATTTTGGGTGGTTCCATTGTATGGCAAAATACACCCAGGAAGCCCCATTCTAATTATTAAGGCCCCTATTTTACAGGTCCCCATCGGTGTAATCCTTCCTTTTGTCATGGGTTTAGGGTTTGTCGCTGACGGTTGAGATTGTTGTTTTTGGTTATTCCTTGAGGCTTTGTAGTTACGGGTTCAAGGTTTCGGGAGTTTAGGGTTTCGAGTTTCGGGGGTTTCGGGTTCAGGGTTCAGGGATTGCTGTCAGGTGGGTTGCCATCTGCCACAGCTTAGGGTTCAGGGTTGGTCACAACACCGGGGCCCGTTACACCGAGCAGAACAATTGCCTAACAGCAGGGATTACCTAAGCCGCAAACTTAAAAACAACAAGGACTCATATATTACGGCTTTTGGGCCCAAAGACCATACTGTATAAGGCTTTTGGTCTATTTTTGATCCCCAGGGTATTAGCTCTACTTAGAGCCGACTCACTGAGTCGCCCGGCCTCTGAGTAGAACCGATGACAACCGATGTGTTCCAGGAAGTGCATATCTGTTGGCATTCCTAGCAAGACCTGTGAGCCTAAACCCCGGAAATCTGTACCCTGAGGCCGAACCCCGAAAGCCTAAAATTGAAAACCCTCAACGTACATCCCTACCTTAACCCTGAATAACCTACCTTTTTAGGGTTCCCTCTTATGATTTCCTTATATGGGTCCTTAGAAAGGTAGGTTCTTCAGGGTAAAGGTAAACTAAAAACTCCGAAACCTAAAGCCCCGAGCCTGCCGGCAGATGAGCGAGAAAGCTTCTCCACTGAAGAAGGGCGCCTCCTCGCGTGCAGCAACGCCCCCGCCCAAGGCGCGTTTTGGGCGTTGGGTATATATGTATATACATATATACAGGTGTATACATACATATATATACAGACAGGATTACGTAGGGTCTGGGGATGAGGCTATAGGGTTTAGGGACCGAGCTTTTAGTTCTACAGCTTTCATAGCCGTTTGAAAGTTTAGAGTGGTTTGATGAGGTGTCCTTACAGTAAGAGCCCCGCCATCCATGAATTTGTTAATGTTCCACACTTGACATGGAACCCGATTGCTACTTCTTCTTTGCTTCATAGCACAATTTTCGTCTTGATACCCCTAAACCCTCAACCCCTTATAGAACCCTTATAGATCCCTTTAAACCCCTAATTTTAGGAAACTGCCATGCAAAGCTACAGCATCTTTCCCTCACCAGCCTCGTTAGTCGCGAATGTCGTGGATTCAAGTAAAAGGAGGCATATACTTTGGCACATCATTCACATTGTAGTCTACCCTGAGGCTCCTAAGAGGGTCTTGGGCTTTCTGGGGGAGGGTTTCGGCTTGCGGGCTAGGGTTTGGGACCTTACTACAAGGGTCCAGGAGATTTAAGGTATTATACTACATCATAGTATCTTGTAGGATAAGGGCTTAGTTGGGTTCCATCGCCACTAGGACAAATGCAAACCAAGATGATAAGCTAAACGGAACGAGCCGACTCTCCGCCGCTGTTCTGGAAAGATGCTGTAGCTTTGTATGGGAGTTTCCGAAAATTAGGAATCTAAAGGTATCTATAAGAGTTCCTTAAAGGGATCTATACGGGTTCTATAACAGGTTTAGGGTTTAGGGTTTCCGAAAATTAGGGGTACCTTATTTTGGGGTCCTTAGAATAAGGATCCTACTATTTAGGGTGCTGTATTAGGGTCCCCTTCTTTAGGAAGCTCCCATTTCTATGAAAATGAAGCTCCAAGGGCTTATTGGAAATAATATGTTCCACTCTAGACCCGCAAGCCACCTAAACCCCTAATGCCAATCTCCCGCGATCCGAACAACCAGCAGCGGAGGAGAAGAAAGTTTCTGATGAGCACCTTGGTGCGCAAGGAAACGGCCACCCAACACCTTGGGGTTGATGATTACAGGTTCACGGGTTGGGTTTAGGGTTAATGGTTTAGTGTTCATGGTTTGGGGTTTTAGGGTTTAGGGTTAACCCCCCATAAGTATCCTAAACCCTAAACCTTAAGCACTACACCTTAAACCCAAACCCTAAACCTTGATAATACTGCTTTTCTCGTCTCAAACCCTACGCCCTAAACAGTTCCACCCTGGAGGCCTCAGCCCCAAACTCGCCCGGATTTAACCTCGGAGCGCTACACTGAGAATTCTGAGACTTTCCGAGTGCTCCTGCCACTTCCGTCAAGATCGTAGTTGCACCTTCACCAGGACCCCCCCCCCAAAAAAAAAAAAAAAAAAAAACCTTTCATGGAGTATTTATGGCCCTTCATTGTGGGTATTTGGGGTACATTACAGCTTAGTTGGGGGGTCCAGGTATGGTTCTATGCGGTTTTGAAGTTTCGATTCGCCTCCCCTTTGCAGAAACTTCTTGAGCACTCCATGTGCTCTTGCTCTTCGGGGCATTCCCTCTGCACCCGCTGTCTAAGTACCTAGATCCTTGGGGGCATTGGAGGCCCAATGAGGGAACAGAACTTTCAGATGTTGAGGAATCCAAACAAGCACGCCTTATAAATCCTTTGCAAAGCCGGCCTGGGGTGCAGGGACTCACCCCACCCCCGATTTGTGCTCCCACACACTACAGGTACTCATCACCCGAAACCCGCTTTGAGGCCGACAGCACCCATCTACAACCCCTGTAGAAATCTCCTGTAAGCCCAAGTCCTACACCTATACCCAAACCTCTAGAAAGCCCTAAAGCCCAAACCCTACTGCCTAGACCTTGAACCCTAAGCCCTATTGCCTGGACCCTAAATCCTAATCTCTGAAGCCTCAAACCCTGACAGCCCTGAACCCTTAAGCCCCTAAGCCCCAAACCCAGAAACCCTAAGCCCCTTAACACGAAAAACCCTCAGCCCTAAGCCCTACGTATTTGGAGGGTCGGGGGGGGGACTTAGCAAGTAGTTATTTTAGGGACTTATACGAACCATAACCCCAATTAGGGTCCCTTTTAGGGTACTTATAAGTCTACTTACTACCTACTTACTAAGTCCCCCGACCCTCCAAGTACTGCTTGAAAGACGAAGGAAGGTGAAGCCAAAGGCTGAAGCTGCCAAGGCAAGAATTGGCTTTGGGCCTGTGGCTTAAGACTTTAGCACCCTACTTAGAGGCCCAGGGGACTCAGCAAGTGGTAAGGTTCCTTAGGGTTTAGGGTTTAGGGTTGGCTCTGAGGACTCATATTTTAAGGCTTTTCGGCCTAAAGACCATATTGTACAAGGCTTTTGGGCCATTTTGGGCTTGTGGCTTACTTGGCGGCCCAGGGGACTCAGCAAGTAGGCTCTTTAAAGAGTTCCTCAAAAGGGATCTATAAGGGTTCTATAAGGGGGATCAGGGTTACTTAGAGGCCCAGGGGACTTAGTAAGTAGGTTGTAAGTAGGGTTATAATTGGGGTAACTTCATTTGGGGTACTTATACCACTACTTATAACCTACTTACTAAGTCTCCTGGGCCTCCAAGTAGGACTTTATCACCCTAAGAGTCCAAAGGACCCAATAATAAGCTGCTCGGTTGTGGGATCTAAGCCCTAATCCCTGAACCCTAAACCCTAAACCCTGAACTCTAAACCCTAAACCCTAATGTAGGTTAGATTTTGGGAATGATACGATTATTAGGTACTTGGACCCTTGGGGTCAGAGACCGTAGACCCTTCGGCAGAGTTTACATAGGCAGAAAGGGTGATACAGTAAACCCCATAAAGTTGGAAACCGGATTAAGGCCAAATAGTATTGGGATTCCCTATACATTACTCTTAAGGATTGAAGCTATTGGGTTTCCAACTTTTAGGCTTCTACTGTACAGCAGAGTTTACATAGGCAGAAAGGGTGATCTAATTCAATATGCTGAGATGGAAGCTTGAGTTCCGCAAGGGCTTCAAATTCCACAAGGGCTTCAAACTAATGTTCAACGAGTTCTGCAAGGATTGTCCTTGCAAAACCCTAAACCCTAAACCCTAAACCCTAAACCCTAAACCCTAAACCCTAGACCCTAAACCCTAAACCCTAAACCCTAAACCCTAAACCCTAAACCTCCGAAAGGTGTTCTCAGAGTTCTGCTGGGAGATTGACATGGGTTTATGAAACTCTTGAAGGCACAAGGTGCTGGGATCTGCGATGTTTGCATATGGTTTAGGGATTCTCAGGTTTAGGTTCTCGGAGTGCGAATCTGGAGCCTGGCCCCCTCAAGACCAAGATATGGAGGCCGGAATAGTACCACAGTATCCCCTTATGGCTCTGATGGAACTATACTAGAACATACCCCCAGAACCCTATTCTAAGCCCATGTATTTTTGGAAAGTGTCGCTTGTATTCGCTTTGGGTAGTGCAGGAAAAAGAGGAGCCCCAAGAATTCGGTGGCCCGGTGAGGAGCTCAGGTCAGGGTTCAGTTTCAGGGTTCCGGTTTAGGGTTTAGGGTTTAGGGTTCAGGGTTCCGGTTTGGAATTCATAGGGTGTTCTTTTTTCTGTTTTCATTCGTAGGATCATATCCGCGCCTACGCTGTATTTGCATCTTGTGTTTCAAGGGGGTCATGGGGGAAGACCAGGAACCCTTTCAGCATCTACCAGAGGCTCATACCCTGATGGTTAGGATCTGTTACCTTTAAAAGTAGGCGCCCTAAACAAGGGGTAGGGTATGAGCCTCCAGGTAGGGGTTAGCCGGTTTAGGGGTTGTAGCGCGTAGGGCTAAACAGGGCTCTAAGACTAGGGTTTTTCTTCGTGATGTTCTATATCTCAGATCCCCAATACCCAGGCTTTAAACTTTTTGTGTTCTTATAGTCTTTTAGTAGGAATCGGAAATTTTAACTTTCTGTGTCTGTGGCCTATTGGGGGAGTAAGATATAGGGCCCTATCTAGGATTCTGAAATGTTTGGGGGGACTCCTTGGTCTGTCATAAACTCTATACCAACTGATGCAAAAGATCTTTGGGGGGGGGTGTCTGCGAGAGTGAAGCAGACGGTCTAGAAAGCTTCATGAATGAGTACTGAGTCATTCTTTCGGGGCTTGAGGTTTTTTTTAGGGGTATGCAGGGTTCCGGAACGAAGGGGGAGGGGGTGATTTCTTCAGCTTCCTGCCTAGAGACGCTGGACTTCGAAACCTTGTGTGGCTTGGTATTCCCTAAATTTAAGCCTACACTTAGGCCGCTTAGGCCTACACCCAAATCAAGTTGTTTCGGTTCAGCGATTTGGACTCGCAAGCTCTACAGCAGCCGAAGCTACGAAGTGTGAAGCGAACCGTCGCTGTTGCTGTTAGACTACATGCAACCTGCATAAAGCCCTTATAGTAATTTACATTTAAAGCCTAAACCTTCATAAGGCCCTTGTAGGAACTTATAAGGGCCTTGAACAGACACTCTACGAAGCCTGACTAAGAGATGGTGGCCCGCGCGCCCACGCACACGTGAGGCATCTTTTGCTGTGTCAGCGGATATCTCGCAAGCTCATAGACGGGCGAAGATCCGGCGGCGAGATTGGCCACTCCTGGCTTGCAAGTCATCGAGTGCTTCGAATGTTGTGTGGATGAACACCGTGGGCACCTTTGGCGTGTCCTCCGCTGCCATCTGGTAGACAAGGCTCTTTGGCGCGGTGGGGCGATGGGTGCTCCGGGTCCTCGGGCCCTTGTGGAACCTCCAGGTGATCTACGTGGACGATTTGCACATTGTCGTTGTGGGCAAGGACAAGTTCTTGATCTTGTGGATGGCATTAAAACGGACGAAGCCCAATTCAAGGACTCAGCAAAGCCAACGGCATACGATCAGGGCTACCCCTCTGTGGGCTTCAAGATCTCCGGCTTAGGACATGTAAACATCTGTGTGTCATGTGTGTGTATGTGCATGTGTATGTGTATGTGACTGTATGTGCCTAGGTACGTATGTACAACCCTAAATCCCTAACCCCTACACCCCTAAACCCTAAACCCATGTTTTTGTGCCCATTTATTCATGTGCGATCCTCCATCGAAACCTTTAAGGAGGCCCTTAGGGAACCCGCGAAGTTCCTTTAAGTAGGCTTCGGGCCCTAAGCCCCCCAAACCCTGAACCCTTTAAGCCTCAGACTGGGTTCCGAAGTGCCGAAGCGCAGGCTTGAAACTCGAAGTCATAGGCTAGGTACTGCCCCCAGACAGTAAGACAGTAAGAGTCTATAATAGGGCTACTATTCAGCTATTTCTGAGTGTGGGCCGTACCCAAGTCACAGGCCTGAACTGGGTCCCTGTTGAGTAGCTTTGTTGAGGGGGTCAGCGTGGGGTTTAGGGTTTAGGATACGGAGCTTTTTTTCCAAGAAATGTAAAGTAAGCTATATGCTTTCCTCATTATGGTAACTTGGCTCAAGGTCCGTAGCACGAATCCAGCTAAACCCTTTCTATCCCGCCAAGGCAGGCAACTTGTTCATCATGGTGTCCTCGCACATCCTCATGCCACTGACCTGCAATTTAGTACCACAGGCATCCAAAGCTAGTGGTTTTCCCCCTGCAGTCCTGCCTGAGATCATTGCAGGGTACAACAGCCGAGCCAAGCCATACACCCCAAACCCCATGCCATAAGCTTTAATTCCTCAACCCTCATGCCAAAACCTAGACTCTAAACCCGAAACCTATGACCCTCAATTTGCTCTTTTGGCCCCGGTGTTGCTGCGCAGTGTCATTCCAAGCCTAGTTTTTTCAAGTATTCCAATAAGCTCCTGACTTGGCAGTAGGTGCTCTCGCAAGCTCGGAGCGGCTTTAGTGTTTTGGGGTTAAGGTTTAGGATTTAGATTTAGGGGTTGAAGGTTTTGATGACAAAGAGACGGTTGTATCGAACTTTCTCGAGCAAGTCCGGTTCTGGCGGAATGCTGCTGGCAAGACAATTCCGAGCAAGAAATACGCCCCAATCAGTATCCTTAGGTCCTTCATTCGACGAACCGGACATACGGTTTACTTGTAAGCGCGAAGCCTTAAATCGTGAAAACTTCAGAGTCAGAAGTTTCGGATTAGATATGTTCCGGCTTTGTTCTTTCAGTGCTTTATGTCACCTAGAATATCTCGGTATCTCATCCTTTGTTGGTCAGCCCTGCACCCCAAACCCTAAATCCTAAACCTCCATACCCTAAGACTCTATACGGCCCTAAGCCAAAGGTACTGCATGGCCGCCTCCTTGCCTCCTGGCCGTGAAAATCCGGGGTTCTGGGTTCTACGATGCAGCCGAAAAGCTTGGGCTACAAGTTTTGGGAAGTTTGGGTTTGTTGTCCAGTTTTGCGCTTGAGGAGTTCGGGGTCTAGCGTTTTAGAGTTTGCTTGGAGGGTCGCGGGACTTAGTAAGTAGGTAGTAAGTAGACTTATAAGTACCCTAAAAGGGACCCTAATTGGGGTTATGGTACTTATAAGTCCCTAAAATAACTACTTACTAAGTCCCCTGACCCTCCAAGTGGGGTTTCAGGTTGCAGCGTTTTCGGGTTGCGGGGTTTGGGGTTTAGGCTCTTGAGGGATCAAGGGCCACTAGGACTGTAGCTTTGCTAGTAACCTACGTACTGAGCCTCCTGATCCTTCAAGGAAGCGTGATATAGAGGTCTGAAAAATTCTGTACCATGATATCATGCACCGCTATGTTGTTGGAGCTTTGGGGGTTCGACCAAGAGAGCTGCCCTTGCCGCCCCGGACCCTACAGTAAACCACAAACCCTAAAGCCTGAAGCCTAACTCCTCAACCCTAGTTCTTCTTAGCCCTCATCTCTATCCGCTGGACGCTGAATTCTAATTCCCATACTTAGATCCGTAAGCCGTAAGTACGTCCCTAAGTCTGCGGGTGCTCCTTCTCTTTCGGGTCCTGTGCCTTGGCTCGCCACCGGCGAGAGCCCAAGGCCCCTTAATTAAGGCATGTGGCTCGAATTTGGTAGGGCTTCATAGTATGATTTAAGCTACCCTAAACCCTAAACCCTAAACCTAAACCCTGAACCCTAAACCCTATTCCTGAATTAAGGGGTATCGGGCTCTCTGGGAACACTTCCCATGACCAACCACACGCCACAGGCTGGCGGAGCGCCTCTGTGACATTTGAGAGTTTCCGAAAGTAGGGGTACCTTATTTGGGGGTCCTTATAATAAGGATCCTACTATTTAGGCTACTATATTAGGGTCCCCTATTTTCGGAAACTCCCATTTGATGGCACCTTTTAATTACCAACCTTGGGTCCGATCCTGTCAGAGAGCCTGAAGAAATGCGGGCTTTTGCATTTCACTGAAATCTAGTATAAGCCCGGAGATTCACCTAAGATCACATGCTGAAGCGGCCGGAGACAAGGTTGTCGATCGGTAGTGCCCCTTAACTTAACCATGATTTAGGCCCCTTCATAAAAAGAATGGGGTTTGGGGGTATATTATACTGTAGCTATAATAAGAAGGAGCCCCCAAAATAGTATAGGCGACTATAAAGGCCGTAGATTAATCCTTGAACCCTGTATATGCAAGGCTCCGCTCTTTACCCCCGGGCCTTAAATCCAAATATGGAGATCAACCTTTTGCTGTTAAGATTTAAACCCGCAACAAACTAGCAACAATTATGCCAATATCAGCAAGAACGATGATACTCACGAAGTTCATACTTGCCCTTATGGCTTGATGCAATTGTGAGGTGAATGATCAAATCGTCTCCGGATGTTTAACACTACTGGCATCACCGACCCAAAAATGCAGAGCAAACCGAGCACAAATTGGATTCCCAGACATTTCAATATCCCTTAGTTGAGGAGCATAGCTTTAATTAATCGTGGTAGTAGGATCCCTAATATGACAAACATGTATATTGTCTCATCATAGCAGCATGGATCCCTACTATTGAGGCACATTCCCTCATTAAGGGGTTATTTCCTTTCAGGTCTACTACATAGTCGGATCCCAAGCAATTCTGGCATAAGGCATGTTCCCCAATGAAGGGAGATTGGAATATCCGGGCTCTTGGCAAACCCTAAACCGTAAACCCCAAACCCTTAACTTTAATTAAACCCTACCTGGACCCTCAGGAACCTACTTCGTTTCGGGTTCCCTAATATGATTTCTTTATATAAATCCTTAAAAAGGTAGGTTTTTTGGGTTAAGGTAAGACTCCAAGGATTCAAATGGTACCTACTTTGGGGTCTAAAGTCTATAAATGGTACCTACTTTGGGCTACTCGGAGTCTTAGGGATACCCTAAGACCCCAAAGCCCCAAACCCTAGACCCTAAACCGGTTCTTGGGAACAAAAACCCAGGTTTGGATCCGAGCCCACGCAATACGCTCCCTGGATGTAAGGGGGTTTACGGTTGCGACTCTTCCCAAAGGAGCAATAGCATAGTAATAGTATAGCATGCGAATAAAGTATGGTAAGAGTATAGTATTGTGTGGTTTAGCACAGCGTGGCATAGTATAGTGTGGTATGGCACCGTATAGTATAGTATGGTATAGTATACTATCGTACACTTATTCGATGAAAGTATAATACATCCGTTTGGGTCCCAAAGAGCTACTAAGTACCAACTTTGTTAGTACTTGGACCCTTCGGGTTGTGCAATGCTTTCAAGGCGAAGTATGGCGTTCAATGTAATCCAGCGGTTACTTTTCATGCTGATTCTTGTCAGACACAGTGTGTATTCTCGCACCATCTCATGTGGGTGGTTGGCAAAATTATGATTCCGTTTTGGGTACCCTAAATATTAGGTGCCGTATCAAAATAAGGATCCAAAAATGGACCATAATTTTGACAAACCACCCAAATGTAGTGCGAAACTCTGGGATGTAGGATTCCGCCGAGTGAAGATTGAAGATTCTGAACCGTTCCGGGTTCAGAGATCAAGATTCGCGTTTGTGTTTCTGATGTTGGGGGCCAGGCCTCCAGATTTTGAGATGTTGTGTTAGGTCTTGATGGTTGTGCTCAGTTGAGACTGAACATGCGCTTACGTTTGTACTTTCGCCATGTTTCGACGTGTTTCGGGCAGCACGTTTGCAAGGTGTGTAGCATGTCTTGTTTGCAAGGGTCTACATAAGAATTTTCTTACTGCCTGTATGTGTTTCTGGTTGTAAGCACAGCTGCAGTGCATGTGAGGTCTATCATGTACATGTAAGTTGTGCGCGCAGGTAAGGTAGCAGCTGCAGGTAAGGTAGAAGCCGGGCACAATACATTTCAGTAGTAGTCCATAAGGGTCTTCACTAGTGTGCTATGACCACTACACCCTTAGACCCTGCAGACAATCTGCAGTCGGAGACAGGACTTCAGAAACAAAACCTTGGACCCTAAACCTAAACCCTAAACCCTAACCCTGAACCCAGCCAGCTCCCGAACCTTTGCTCTGAGATTCCCACGGTGAAGTCAGTCAGCTGGTTCTTGAGCCGGAGACCCAGCCCTTAAAATGGATCTATGAGGGTTCTATAAGGGGGATCAGGGTTACTTGGAGGCCCTAGTCAGTAGGTTATTATAAGTTGGGTTATAAGTAGCCTAAATGGAGTTACCCCAATATAACACTACTTAGAACCGACTTACTACGTCCCCTGGGGCTCTAAGAAACCCTAATCCCCCTTACAGAACCCTTAAAGATCCATTTTAAAGAACTCTTTAAAGAGCCTTACTGCTTTTTAAGTCCCCTGGGCCTCGAAGTGGAGGATCCTGTAAGGTTCACCACAAAGACAAGCGTTGTTGTAGCGCCCGTAGGGGTGATTTGGGAGTTTCCGATAATAAGGGGTCCTTGTAATAAGGAGCCTACCATTTCGGGTCCTATATGAGGGTCCCCTATTTTCGGAAACTCCGAATTTATTCTAGAAGGGGTACTGTAAGGGTGACTATGGGAGGGGTACTGTAAGGGTGACTATGGGTTGCTAGAAGGTCTTTTTTAAGGCGGGGCTTGAGAACCTTCGTATTTAATACCTTTCCTCACGGTTCCTGAATGTAAGTACAATATACCCACAAACCTGTTCTAACTTTTCGGTCCAAATGTTATGGTTTCCGGATACCGTAGTTAGGGCTTAGGGTCTGCCTAGAGGCTCAGGGGATTTATTAAACGGTTTATTCCTGACAGAACGAAATTGCTTCTCAGTCCCTGAAGGGGTATACCGGGAAAGCGGAAGGCGACGATAACATGGGTTAAGGGTCTAGGGGTTTAGGGATTTTCGTGTCAATTACTTGTGTCTAGCCTTGCCAGGGTTCAAGCATGGGGCTTCTTTGAGGTCATAGTCAGCATCGCAGCCGCATGTGCATAGGCATCAATACACACATACGTGCGTGCAAATGGTACAAACAAGCAAACATAAAGACATACCACAACATACATACATACATACATACATTCATTCATACATTACATTACATACATACATACATGTATACATACATACATACATACATGCATGCTGACATGACACGTACAGGTTTACATGTCTTCACAATGCATAGTAACAAATACACTAAGTCAGCTAGTTCGCAGAAACAACACTGCATACCATCAGTACATACATACTTTGCATGTGTGCCGTTAATTATGTATGTGTATGCATGCACACATGTGTATATGTTTCCATATGTCGGTATCTACATTCTTCATGTATGTATATTATATATATATATATATATATATATATATATGTCTCTTATGTGTGTTTAGATATTTGTTTATAGAGCCTAGGTCCAGATTAGGATCGAGCTCTAGATCTCGATCTATACTTAGACCGATACCTATGCCTGTATCTGTAGTTGTGTCTATGTCTATACCTATATATACATATATAGTACATACCTGTATCTATAGATCTGTCTTTTATTGTATAGTTTTATTTACTGGCTGTTAGTCTGTAGTTGTTTATTTGTAAGCTAGGAGTGATCAAGCTGGGCTGCTCCTTTGCCACTTGACATTGGGGCTTGGGGCTCGGGTTTTGCAGCTTCCCTCTCCGTGAGTGAACCTTGCCTTAGTTTGAGTTCTGACTCAGTTCTGACTCTTTAACCTTAAACCCTAAACCCTGTAACTCTTTAACCCCTATCCCGGCCCTAACCCTTGAACCCTGATGAGTGCGAAGCCCGAAACCCACACTTTAAGCCCTTAGCTCGAAACCCGCGCCTGAGGCTATCACGCGCTACAGGTGCTCTCCGCGCGGTATATGCCAGGCGTTGGAACCTCAGGAAATCCAATCTACTTCTTCAGGCTCCAATGGAATTAAGCATTTAGCGGCCATACATACAGCGACTTTGCAACATCATTTGCTTCGTGCATTGCAGTTCACGATTGGGTGTGCATGTTTTGTGAAGGCTTTGAATGTTCGGACATCGCCGATTCTGTCGCCAGGTATATGCGGAGCATGCTAAGATGATTGAAACCCTAAGCCCCAAACCCCAAACCCTAAACCCTAAACCCTAGACCCTAGACCCTAAACCCTAAACCCTCGACCCTAAACCCTAAACCCTAAACCCTAGACCCTAGACCCTAAACCCCAAACCCTAAACCCTAAACCCTAACCCTTCTTAAACCCTGAAGCTTGCACCCGAAGCCCTGCGATCTGAATCCTGGAGCTGTCAGTACCCTGAGGCCCTAAACCCTAAACCCTACAGCCATGGACCTACTTGGAGGGTCGGGGCACTTAGTAAGTAGTTTGTTTTAGGGACTTATAAGTACCATAACCCCAATTAGGGCCCCTTTTAGGGTACATATAAGTCTACTTACTACCTACTAAGTCCCCCGACCCTCCAAGTACCCCTAATCCCTAAAACCCTAAACCCTAAAGCCCCTAAAACCCTAAATCCCTGAACCCCTAAACCCTCAACCCTAGAACCCTAAACCCTAAACCCTGAACCGCGGATATGTGGAGTTGTCGGATCTCGGATCCGCAGCCTTTGCCTTGAACTCCAGTCGGAAATGCTGCGGGACGCATGGGACTTTGGGTTTGCCTATAGTCTCCATTGTAGTTCCTTTTTTGGTTAACCAGTTTTATGGTTAGGGTCCTACAATAGAGATTTTGGTAAAAAAAAAAAAAAGAAAAGGAACTACAACAGAGACTATAGGTAGGGTTTATAAGGGACGGAAGACGCGAGGATTTAGCGGATCAGGGTCACAAAGACTCCAAATAGCCCAAAGTAGGTAGTAGTTAAAAGCATTAGACCCTAAACCCTAGACCTCAAAGTAGGTACTACGGTTGATGATATAAATCCTGCATCACCCATAATAAGGAATACATGGGAATACGGTATATTCCTTATGATGGGTCATGCAGGATTTACATCATCAACCGTATTTGTATACCTGGGAGTCCTAGGGGGTTACTTCTGACCCCAAGTCTGACCTGCCTCCGAAGTGAACTTGCCAGATGTTGGGTTCTTGTTCACCCCTAGGGATCTAAGATATATAGGGTTCCTTTAAAGGGATCTATAGGGGTTCCTTTAAAGGGATCTATAGGGGGTCCTTTAAAGGGATCTATAGGGTTTAGGGTTTAGGGATCTAAGGACTCATATTTTAAGGCTTTTGCGCCCAAAGACCATACTATACAAGGCTTTTGGGGCTTTCTTGAGCCTTAGGGTAAGGGATTCAACTCAAGTTTACATAAGGACGCCACTGTATTATTGACTGTGGGATCCTTATTATGGTAACTTAAGCTCAACTCCTCAACAAGAACCCAGGCGAAACTGTTGCGACACCCTGTAGGGCCCCAATTGAGCCTGGAAGCCGTTAAACCCAACCCCTGCATAACCGCTTAAAGAACGCTTACAGCACCCTTCTAGAGCCGTTGTCCCTTGAACCTGAGAGGCTGTCTTTCAATCCCTACAAGACTACAACCCTAAACCTTATTGTTTTGGGTTATTTGGCCTTTGTCCTCCAAATCTTATGGTAAAATTCTTAGAGAATGCTTCTAGAACCCTGAGCCCTTGAACTTCTTTCTGCCCTAGACCCTGAACCCCACAGCCTATAGATCGCGTTAAGGAACCTTTTTAAAGGATTCCTAAACCCCGAAACCCTTAAACCCTAAACCGAGCTCGAAACAAACCCTGAAGCCTAAACCCTGAACCTTAAACCGAGCCTTAAACAAACCCTAAACTCTGAACCCTAAGCCGAGCCCTAAACGCTTTTCTTTCCAGGTTCTGGTGCAGACCAACGGCTTGGACTACCCATGCAACGGAGCCTTTGAAGCATTTCCGGCGCTGAATATAGGGGCCTGAATAATTACCTATACTATTTTTCGGGGGGTTCCTTACAAAAAATATAGTATAATGAGCCCCAAACCCTATTCTAGTTATTAAGGCCCCCACATTACGGAAAAGGGGTCCCTAACGGACCTCTTCGAGTTCCAGGGTCCGAAAAGGATTTGATGTGATTTATACGTCTTTCAACAAACGGCTTGCGAAAGGCTTGGAAAAGGGTCTCAACAAACTTGTTGACAGAGTTTCAAGGTGCAAAGCTACAAAAATCAGGAAATTGGGTTTAGTACAGTACTGCAGGTTAGTTTTTAGGGGAGAATCTGAGTCTTACGTACTGGGACGCTTGTTTTATGGCTTCCACAGGACCACATGAACTCAGGGCTTAAACGGTTTCGGTTATAGTGCTTGGGAAATCAAGGTTCGTGGCGTCCTGGTGGAGTTGTGTACTATAGGGGCCGAAACAATTACCAAACAATTACCAATACTATCTTGGCGTGCCGTAATACGGCCATTATAGCAGAATATTCCCCAAAGCCTGATTCTAATTATGAGAAGACCCCCATATTACATGTGTTCAGGTTTAGGGTTGTTTGTGTACGGGCTTGTGGGCTTGAGGTCGGAGGAGGTGTAGAGATGAAACCGTAAAAGCGAAAAGCTTGACACCCGACAAAACGAACACAAGCCCCTTCATAGCCAAACTTAGAACCCACTCTGATAAGGGCCCTTGGGGTCCATTGCCGTTAATCTTTGGACCCTTAAAACCCTGTTCGAATTATTAAGGCTCCTATAGTAAGCTAAACCGTCGAGCCAGGATATCTCACCTTCTGGGCGTCCTTCCTGGTGGCTGGCCTGCTCCATTTCGGCGGCATCTTCGACCTCACCACGTTGGTGAAGGAGTACCCGCCCGCTGGCTTGTAGGGTTTCGGATTCAGCATTTAGGGCTTATACAGTATAGGGCTTAGCAGGTACCCATAGGCCCCAGAGTAGTTCCTTTTTGGGATTGCCTTATAGGATTCTACATATGAGCCCCAAAAGGAACTACTTTGGGGCCTATGGGTAGGTTATAAGTAGAGTCAAAGCAGGGGAATGCTGTTGCATCAAGTTTCCGGAGGCAGCCTCGGACATGCGTCCCTAGATGTCGTTGCGGCCTTTAGAGAGCATCTACAGAGGGGTACGGCCGGGTTGCCCAACGGCGCTGACAGTACGGTACGATATTGTGCAGTTTTGGGGGTGGATTGTGAGTCTTGCGTTTCGGGCTGGTAGGGCTTCGGCGTTTGAGGCATTGTCAGCGTCTCGAGTCTTGGGGCAAGCTAGGCAGTAGTGTTCCTGTCAAATGAACTGAACCAAAGTCCAACTTAACTAACTACAGTATCTGAGAATCCCCGTTTGGATTTCAAGCATCATGATCATCGCTACCCCGCCAGCTTTGATACAATGTTCCTTTCCTCGTGGGGTTAGGTTCGGCTTGCAAGCCCTAAACACCGAAGCCCGAAGCCCCAAAACCCTGAAGCACCCGAAAATTCAGAGGGCTCAAAAGAGAAGAAGAACAGTCGTCTGCCCAGCCGTGGGCAGCGTTTCGGGGTTAGGTCGTTTATGTCCACGGCCATCATTCTTGGCGACATCTACTCGCTGATCATCCACGCCTGCTATGCTCCTTGGTGCTTTTCGCATTTATGGTTCAGGTTCTAAGGGGTTTAATTACTGCTGGGAGCAAATCTGGACTGAACGGTCTGTTGCGGGGCGACCGGTTGGCTCTAACTACACCCTCTCACAAGCCGAAACTTCCCTGAAACCACCTACCCAGCACCCTCAAACTTCGACCCTCTAGGCGGCAAGCGCCTGACCTGTCAATCCCTGGAGTCTCCATTGTAGTTCCCTGGTTAAGCCCTAGGATCCTATGAACTACTTGATTGGGGCGGCTGTCAAAAAGTCAAAACAAGGCGGTGCAGGGTTTTGGGAAAAAGGAAACCAGGCCCGGTGTTGCTCACGTCGGGCTGCTGTTGCAGGAAGCAGCTTTTTTGGTACTTGAGTGGTCCTGGTAAACCCTGAAACCTAAACCCTGAATCCCGAAACCCTCAACACCCAATGCAATCAGCTCAACGCAGCGCCATCCGAACCTGTTTCACCGTCTGACTTATTCTTCCAACACCCAATCCTGAGAAATGAAGAAATCCTGAAGACTAGACCTGGTACACCTGAAACCTCCACCCTGGATCCCTAAAACCCTCAACACTCAACCCTAAGACCCTCAACCCTAAACCCCTAAACCCCATGGATCCCTTTAAGGAACCCTATAGATCCTCTTAAGGAGCCCTTTAAGGAACCCTTATCCTGAAGACCAGAGCAACCTCGGAGCTGCAGGCCAAGGGCAAGGAGATCTACAGCATCTACGACTTCTTTATGGGAGCCTTAGCACGGTAATTGGGCGGTCAAGTTCATGAGAAGCCCATCTAGACCAAGGAGCTTTAAGTTAAGGGTTCCGTAAAGGGCTTCGCAAACGGTTCTTTATACGAGGTACTTAAAGGATCTATAATGGTTTAGGGCGTAGGGCTTACGGGGCGTAGTAACGAGAGGGTGGTACATGAGGTAACTATATTTGCAGGTGTTTAACTTCTATCCCCAATTAGGGTACCTACGTCATGTGGGACTGTATAATAACCCCGTGCTGTTAAGTTTGGTCTTGACATGTCCGTGTTAGGTATTGATGGCTTTCCGTGGAAAAACGATAAGAAGAAAATAAAACGATAACAAAACATAACGGAACGGTAACGCATTTTTCGTGGTAAAACGATAAGAAGAAAATAAAGCGATAACAGCACTCAGGGATAAGGATTTTCATACGGGGTTATTATACAACCCAATGTCCTTACTCACTAGCTCCCATGATCCTACAAGCAGGGTTCGGGATTTGGGGGTGCAGAACTTGGGGCGCGGCCGCTGGGGTCGAGAGTTAAGGTTTAGGAGTTTAGAGTTTAGGAAGTTTTCAGGATCAGGAACGCCCCGCCGCCTCAGGCCACACGGAGGAGTCAAACTGCTCTCGCACTTATGGGGTTGGTTGGCCAAGCACAAGCACAAGACTCAATAGATAGGTGGGAGTTTCCGAAAATAGGGAGTCCAAGTATAGTATCCTAAATAGTAGGATCCTTATTTTAAGGACCCCAAGATAAGGTACCCCTAATTTTCGGAATCTCCCAGATAGTTTTTTCTTACTCCGATCACTTCATAAACCGTACCTCAGAAGAACCTTGAAGCCCTGCAGCTCTAAGCCCGAACCCCTAAGCTCTCTACATCAACCCTAAGCCCTGGATCGCCCTAGACCCGAAACCCTCAACTCCGTACATAAGCCCTAAACCCTGAATAGCCCAAAGCCCCAAAAGCCCTAAACCCAAAACCCTAAACTCTGAATCGCCCCAAGCCCTAGAGCCCTAAACCCAAAACCCTAAACCTACACCCAAAAACCTAAACCCTAAACCCTAGGCCCTTGATCGCCCTAAAGCCTTAAAGCGCTTTGCAGGGACGGCTCTCCATCCTCGGGTCGGCAAGTTGGTGGATGCATCTCGGCCGGTGAGTCGAACTCTCAAAGTACTCCGAGGGGGGAGGGAAAGTCGGTGTGGTAGTTCCCAAAATAAGAGCCCATGTGGGAGTTTCCGAGAGTTAGGCGTCCAGTATTTTGGGATCCTTACAATAAGGATCCTACTATTTAGGGTACTATATTTGGCAACCCTGTTTTCGGAAACTCCCCTGTATAAGGGATCCTCAATCCTACCTACCAACCCTAAATCCCAAACCCCAAAAGCCAAGAAGGGGTCCTCAATCCCACCTTGAAGGTATTGGGTTTAGGGTTGTTTAGGTCTTCGGCTTTGTGCGGTTCTGAGGACTCATGCTTTATGTTTGTTGGGGCATGAAGCCATGGCATGAAAGGCTGTAGATGCTTGGGATTTGTGTTAAACCTGCACCGTTGACAGACCTTCGGCAGTCCAGGATTCTCCTGTTACAGCGACCCTGAAACAGGGGAGCCCTCAGATCACCATCCCGCCATATATATATATATATATAACTAATCCATTATTCTGTGTGCTCTTCGAGATATGTTGAAGTCATTTTACTTTGTTGTTCGTAGCTTTTGTTGGCAACTAGGGCGCTGATATGCGGGTATCTGGAAGGAGAGGTGCATAGTTGGCAGAGTCCTCGAAGTTATGAGCCCAGTTAACTTTAGAAAATTGTCATTCGAGCATAGAGTGCGCAGATGTTGCTTGCGTTGCAAGGTTTTAGGAAAAGCAGATGGGTTCTACTATAGATCCCTTATAGACCCCTTTAAGGAACCCCGTAAAGCCCTTTTCTAATTATTAAGGCCCCTATAGCAGTTGGGTTTTGGGACTCAGACTCCAGATGTTGACGGGTCAGTGTGTGAGCAATGCGCCGTTAGGGTTTAGGGTTTTGGGTTTAGGGTGTAGGGCCCCTAGGGTTTAGGGTGTAGGGTTTAGGGTGTATATAGGGCTATCTCCAGCGAACTCTGAACCCCAAGGGGTCCAAGTACCAATATAGTAGGTACTTAGTACATATTCCTAGTAGTGGAGTAGGTAACCTTCAACCTTTTTTGGGTAGTGTAGTCCCTATATAATATATAACAAAAAAGTTTAGCCTTTAGATCCCCGTGATACCCGACAAGTAAGTATTTGGGTATATAATACACTACTACTTGGAGCCTTTGAAACCGAAGACAGGTGAAGATGGTGGCAGAGACGCGTCTGTCGTGGACGCTGCTGCTGATGATTACTGTGGGCTGCCCCTTGCAGCTGAATTCAAAAGCCTAAACTTCCCTTAGGCCGTACCCGTAGGCCCCATACTAGCTCCTTTTTGGTGTTCATGCTTAGATTTCTACAAGGTAATCCCAAAAAGTGGCTACTATGGGGCCTATGGGTAACCACTTAGCCCCAAGTTCCCCCCAACAACCTGAGCCCTAAAGCCATGCAGCAAGGTTCAGAGTTTCCCTGTGCAGGCTACTACTTGCACCACCCGTGATGGTTTAGGATTTGAGATGTAGGTGAAACCCCAATAATACGGCTGATGCAATAAATCCTACCTTAATGACCCTAAACTATGGGAACTATGGTATATTCCTTTTTGTTATCGGTATCATCAACAGTGTTTAGCCTTCAACCCTGAGCCACGGAGGCTATCTGGAGACTTTCCGCCTCACGGGAAGCTGGCTGAACCCGTTCCTCAGCCTCTACAAATGGGAGGTCAGGGTTGCGACTTCTCGCGCTGCAGGGTTTTCAGGGTTAATAGAGGGGCCTTAACGACTGGAATAGGGTTTTGGGGGTTCCATACCATATGAACAAAATAAGGAACCCCCAAACCCTATTCTAATTATCAAGTCCCCTACATGAGGTTTATACAGGGCTTTAGGCTCTATAGCGCGAATGATGTAAGGGTTCATCGTGTTAGGGGAGTTTAGGGTTCTTTGGTTTGCCAGGTCCGTCCGTGGAGAAAAATATCGAGGGTGCAGCGGCTAGGGGATGAAGCCTTTTTCAGTCTTTCAGGCATTTTCCGATCGAGGGTTTGCAATCGGGTTTGGGCTTTGGGGTTGGTCTCGGGTCGTTTAGGTGTGGCTGTCAGAGCTTTTTTGAGTACACCCTCGGGCTTTCGGGTTTCGAGCCCAGACCAGGTTCAGCTGGCTGAGTGATGGCAAGGATGACTCTAGGTGCAGGGCTTCAGGCTCTTGCGCTTGTGAACTCTCCACCTCCCCCCAAGAACCGTCCTGAATCCTACACTACACCTTACCTTAATAATAATGAGCCAGAGCACCACTAGATTCACAGATTTTCAGGCTTCACTGTTTTTTTTATAATGTGTGTGTATGTATATATACTGTGTATATATATATATATAGATATTTGTGTAGTTTCAAACCCGAAGGCCCGAAGCCCTGAACCCAGGACTGGTTTCATGGTGCTTGCTCATCTCCTCTACGGCCAGGCTTGTGCAAAAGGCGTGGCATCTCATGAAGATCATGCAGTTACTACGAAGCTTTAGAGTGAAAATTTGGGAGGGGGGGGGGGGGGGGGCAGGAGGTTTGGCTTTTCCCGTCCTGTGAGGCATGTTTTGTAGAGAAGTACGCGAATTTGGCCTTCCGGTTGCCTTAATCCTCAGACCGCTTCCATGGATGCGAGACTCTAAGTTCTAAACTACCCATAGGCCCCAAAGTAGTTCCTTTTTAGGATAATACCTTAAAGGAGTCTAAGTATGAACGCCAAACAGCAACTACTTTGGTGCCTATGCTTAGGGGCGATGCCGGAGGTAAACGGCTCCCTGAAGCCTCCATGGGCCTGCGCCTGAACCTCTGCACCCCAAGGCAAGGTTGAGGGATGTTTAGGGTTTATAGGTTTACGCATAGGCTCCATGGTAGTTCCTGTTTGGGTTTCATACATAGAATCCTAATCCTCAAAAGGAACTACAATGGAGCCTCTGGGTATGGAGCCAGGAACCTCGATAGAAAGATCCGTAGCTCCAGCTCCAAAACTCGATGGTTGCATGTGGTGTACAGTTCTGACGGTCCCTCCTTCACAAGTCGAAGTTCCTCGGAGCCGGCCAGGTGAGCACTTCATCCCGTACACCTGGGACATCACCACGGAGAAGTTCGGTTGGATGCTGCGTGGTGGCACGAGGACAACGACTAATTACTTCTGCTGCTGCTGCTGCTGCTGCTGCCGCCACCACTACTACTACCACCACCACCACCACCACCAACACCACCACCACTAATTACTGCCTCTGCAAGTATCGTGAAGACGACGACATCTTCTGCTTCTTGCGCAGAGTCGGTCACGACATAGACCACCACGACGGCCTATTGCTTATCACCACATGGCATTCAGCAAGGACGTAGAATCCCGTGTATAAGTAGGAATAGTTGAACCGTTGAACCGGGTAGCAGTCACAAGAGGAGCAGCAATAGCGGCATGTCGAAAGTCACGTTGGACATGAACATGGACGAAGCACTGAACGTTTAGGCTTTGCTGGTGGAACCTGGCCGGTGTTCCGCTGCTCTACTGCTACCAGCCCCTTGGTGAGACTGGGGTTTCAAACTGGTGGGTGCTGTCACTTCGAGGGTCGGAGGACTTAGTAAGTAGGTAGTAAGTAGGCTTATAAGTACCCTAAAAGGGACCCTCATTGGGGTTATGGTACTTATAAGTCCCTAAAATACCTACTTACTAAGTCCCCCTAAACCCTAAACCCTTATAGAATCCCTATAGATCCCTTTAAAGGGGCCCTTAAGAAACCCCTTATGGTTACTACGTCCCCCGACCCTCCAAGCAGGCATGAAGGGATGACAGTTTCTTGGCATTTTAGCATGTTGAGATGCATGGTTCAGCTCGGAACCCGGTTTAGGGTTTAGGGTTTAGGGTTCCCTCTACACCCTAAAGGGCCCCAAAGACTGTACACCGCGAACCGAATCCAAAGCACCCCAAAGGCCAAGCCATAACCTCCAAACCCTAAACCTCAAAGGTATGCACCCTAAACCCCACAAGTTTACCCTTAAATCCTAAATCCTAAACCCCAAACCCCCAACCCAAAACCCAAACTGTAGGAGGAACTTATCTTCAACCCTGGAAGCTCTCACCCTCAATGACCTAAGTACTAAGGCCACTATAAGGGTCCATGGCGTGTTGCCTCAGGGTTTATAGGGCTTATGGATTAAACTTTCGGATTTTTGGTGCATTTGAGCCTAAACCCTAAACCTTGTTTGAGAGGGTTTCTTTTGAAGCAAAGGGGCCATTTACGGCTTGCATTCTGGTGTCCACATAGCATGTAGATGACAGTTTTTGGGCCTAAACCCTAAACCTTCAAACCCTAAACACTACACAAACAAAACCAGGGCCGGACGTCCCGGCCCGATGCCGCATGTGTACGGTTGAATCTGAAGACCGCTTCTTCGCTGAGCCCTTCACCCCAGGCCTTGGATTAAGGCCTTAGGGTTTACCTGTTGTCGAAAAGACCTTTTGAGGGTTCCTTGTGATGGTTTCTATATATAGTTCCTTGAAAAGTAGGTCTTTTTGGCTACCCGTAGGGTTTAAGGGGCTGGAGAGAAACATTAAACCCTCCGCCAACGCCAAGGTCCCTGTTCCTGTGCAAGAACAGCTGGTCCGGCTTGGTCTTGCCACCCCTGCCAGGGGTTTACTATGCCGTGCCTTGCATGCAGTACGTCGGGCTCTGGGTCCGTGATGTAGGGCTGGTCAACACCGAAAGCCCAACATGACAGCTACTGTTACTATGGAAAGCCTAACACAAAAGCTATTGTTAATAGAGGGGCTTCAATAATCGTCCTTGTAGTGCAGATGCTGGGTTCAGGGTTTTGAGCCAGTGTCACTTGGAGGTGCCTGGCTTGGAATTGGCCAACATGTTCCGAACCTTCCAGATGTAGATCCGTACAACCTCTACCTAAACCCTAAGCCTTAAGCCCTAAACCCCAAACCCTAAATCCTAAACCCTATAAGCCCTAAACACAAACCTTGTATAGGCACCGGGAGATGTAGGGATTTCGAGCTCTACGGCGCTGCACGCAAGGCTAGTCGCGAGATAGGCGCTTACTGGGATGATCAAATGCCTGAACCCTAAAGCCTGAAGCCTAGACCCTAAGGAACCTACCCTTTTTTAGGGTTCCCTAATATGATTTCTTTATATAAATCCTGAAAAAAGTTTTTTGGGGTTAAGGTGAAGCCTAGACCCTGAACCCATTTACACCTCAAGCCACTGCCGAACCCCCCGAAAAAGTAAGTAACATAATGGCCCGACACCTATAGAAGGCTATGCTTCGGCACACTCTGGGGTCCAGGTGAGGTCTCACTCAACGTTCAGGTCTGAAAGCTCAGGTGATCTCTGTCCTCCTGGTGCTGATGTACTGCCTCTGGGATGAGGCGAACTACCAGAAGTGCTACTTCAAGGCAGAGATGAGGCAGGGCTGCTTTTCAGGCATGGAAGAAGCTGCCAATCATAAACCTTCGGGTGAGATATCCCTATCTTATTGTTGGCTTATATTACATGCCTTAATTACAGCGGGGATTATGGGATATCCCAACCTGATGGTTGTTGTTTAGGTTTAGTTGTCCCTATCTTTGAAGATTACCACTTCGTAGGGTGGTTGCCCTTACTTACCAATACAATTCCTTAGTGTTCCTCACTAATTACACTTGACTTTGACTGAAGCTATTCTAACTTATTGGATCTGAGTGCCCTCGGGATTAGAGGGATAGCGATGGCCACCAGCAAAGGTGATCGGGTCCTAATGGCGGGCTCTGACACCCGTGCTCATTTTGAGATCCCTCTCAACATAGTCTCGCAAGTAAGAATGCTCAGCCTTGTATCTCAAAGCCTCAAACCAGATATTTACTGTGCTGGTGCGCATTGGATGACATCCTAAACCGTAAACCCTAAACCCTACCTTAACCCCCAGTAACCTACCTTTTTTTGAGGACATATAACAAAATCATATTTGGGAACCCTGAAAAGGCAGGTTCCTTAGGGTCCAGGTAGAGTAAACCCCAGTCTAGAGAATCCAAGCGCGAGCCATCCTGAGTCCTCATGCTAATTTTTTGGAGCTGGCTGTGTGTAGCACGTTGCACCCTACACCTGAAACATGAATCGGTTTAGGGTTCAGGGTTTGCAGTTTAGGGTTTACGGTTTAGGGTTTCGGGTGAGATCAGAAGACAGAACTGCCGGGGATGTTCGGCTCCTCCGTGTCTGAAGCTCCCATCGCCGATCACATTGCCTTGGCGTTGCTTCACTTAATGTTGCGTCTTTCTATGATCTTGAGATAAGAAGCCTAAGTCCAGGCCCGAGATAAGATCAAACCCTCACCCTAAACTCTGTGACAGGGGAGGATCCCAAAAGTAGATCCCTTAGTTACTTGGGCTGGCTATAAAGTTCCCTTAGTAGTATAGGGCCCCAATTTAGGGGATCCACTTTCTAGATCCTCCCGGGGGTCTGGGAACTCTGTGACAGGGGACAGCTCATCCGCCGCGATCTTTTCCCCACTTTCCGCCACATCGAGAGCCCGTGACTCTGCTAAAGTGGTCCAACGCTGGATTCTTATAAGGCTTCTTCAAGGGTTCGGGGTTTTAGGGTTTAGGGTTTAAGGGTTTAGGTTTTAGGGTTTGTGGTTAAGGCTCTTTATCAGGGTTTTGTAAATGCTTGGGTTGTATAGAATATACATAACGGATTTGACAGGCGTCTATAGGGCTCCTTTCGAACATGCGCGGGTGCATAGTTTTGCGGCATCATGCTGGGTAGACTGGTAACTTTTGGGAATGCTTTGCACGGCGGCGTACACTGAGCGGGGCTCTTGGGGTCAGTGGCTGCGCCACTAGTGATGGGCAAAGAGCGCTTGCATTCCTGCAGAACTTCAACTATCCGAAAATAGTGGCATTCTGAAATTCTGAGCTTCTCATTCTGCAAGATGCCGTTAGGCCGTAAATCCTTGAAACAGCCTATTAAAACCTAACGCTTTCCGGACACCCACCCCAAACCCTCAACCTTAAACCCTTCAAGCCCCTATAAGCCCCAAGCCCACAAAAAGTTGAGGAAACTGAATCTTAGAAGCTGCCGCCACTCAGTGACAGTTGAATCACATGTACTGGGCTTTGGAGTACCATACTTTAGTACTTTTTTGGGACCTGGTACTGAACGGGAAGCAATTAAGAAATAAAAGTCTATACTTTTGTCCCTTGGTTACTTCAAAGTCCAGTGTATAATCTGTAATATAGAGATACAAGGGCCTTCATAGTAGCCATATTACAGGCTGTTACGGTATGGGGCCAGTACCCAAACTACATCCATCAGAAGGTTAAGGGTCAAAGTTTAGGATTTTAGGGTCGAGGGTTTGGGGTTTAGGCTGTGGTGTTTGGGCCATAGCTTTTCAGTGTGCCGGGTGGGGGGGGGGGGGGGTCAAGTTTGGGGCAAGTTTAGGGATTGACATGGACTTTAGTTGTTTTACCGTCTCTGTGATTACAGAGTGCAGGGCTGTACGGCGTGTTATCTACAGCTTCGGAAAGTTTCCCTGTTGGGCTTGATTTGGACGGTTCGGGTTTTGGGATTTACGGATTGGGTTTAGGGTTTAAGGTTTTTCTGTTGGGCTTCTTTTGGCTCCTGATTTAAGCAAAAGAGCTTCGGCAACGAAGGCCTTACAAATAGTGGTCGTAGTGGTCCCTCTTAGAGCCTTTAATGAGCCAACATTAGCTGTTTGCATTCTCCTCTCATTGGGGCTGTTCTGCCCTGCTCAATTGCGTGAGTTTACTTGCGGGGTACTGTATGACTAAGTTCCTTAAGTGGTACCCTTTTGCCCTTTTTATTCAAGGGCCCCCTTCTAAGACCGACTACAGGTGTAGGACATAGGGTATCTGAAGGGTACAAGGGCTACTCAGAGCCTAGATAACGTGCCGGTTTCGGGTTCGGGTTATGATGTGCCCTAAACCCTAAACCCTATAAGCCCTAAGCCCTCTAAACCCTGTAAATCCTAAACCCTATAAACCCTAAACCTTAAAAAAACCCCAAAACCCTAAACCCTACGCCCTATAAACCCTAAACCGTTTCGGCTTGAGGATGCTTGGCTTGTTGTGGTAAGGCTTTGGAGTACGATACTTTAATCATGTTTTGGGACCTGGTACTTAAAGGGAACCAATTATGAAATGAAAGTCTATGCCTTTTTTCCCCTGGTTACTTCGAAGTCCAGGAAGTACATCAAGTGCGATCAGGGCGTGCTTCTGATCGACGGATGGCAGCTGCGCCGCAAGATTCCGTGATTTTCAGGCTTCAGGTTTTAGGGTTTAGGGTTTAAGGGGTTTAGGGTTCAGGTTTTAGGGGTCTGCAAGAGCAACAGGCTGTGGTCAAAAAACGAGGCGGGCTTGCAGGTTCACCGACGACTCCCATGTTAATAGAAGTTTCCGGTCGATATTTTGATCTACCATCTACATGGCATTTCTGGGGATGCGGATATTTTGGTCCTTCTAGACAGTCATTATGCTACATCCACTTAACTACCTATATTAATGAGTTACAATATGTTCAAGACGATGCAGGATACAGGATAATCAACCATCTTCAAATGCCCACCCTTTTTGGGTTTCCACTCGCAGGTATGGGAAGGCACGGAAGATGCACTACACGGCCGACACAGCCATGGCACTGCGCCTGGGTCATGAAACCCTGAAGGCTCCAGGGTTTAGGGTTTAGGGTTTAGGGTTTCGCTGCTTGGGTTTATGCTGGCTCTAAGCCCTAAACCCTAAACCCTAAATTTTGGGGTGGTCGTTTTTCTGCAGTTACCATCCTCAGATCAAGCAAGGTTGTTCATCACCTGCAAGTACGATATTGAATTGAAGTACTGCCTTGCACCTTAAGCCCGGAAGCCTAAACCTTAAAGCCTTAAAGCCTGCGCCGTGCGGGCTGTTCGAAGCATAGACTCCTGTGCAGACGGAAAACAGGCCTTCAACAAAAAGATATATCCCAAAGTCTATGCCGCAAACCTTCTTTCAGATTCAAAGGGGTTGGGGTAGGAAACCCCATCTTTGATTTTTGAATTAAATTTTTATCCTGATCCTAGAGATCTTCGAGATATAAGCAGCAATTAACAGCCTCATGCTGTTCAGAATGTTGCTACTTCTTTCGCTGCTGCATCGGCTGCTGCCATCACCACAACCACGACCATCACCGCCGCTGGGCCCACGCCAACCAACACCACAGCAATCAGTGCCACCGCCACCACCACCACCACCACCACCACCATCACCACCACTTTTGGGTCCAGAGTTCAGGTGCAGATTGGAGCCATACTATACTGAAAAAGGTTTGGGGGATGTTCCGGGGCTTTTTCAGCCTTGACACCTGAAAACCCCACACGTCCCTCCAAAGAGTTCATATAGCGCAGGTGGCCCTAAACCCTAAACCCTAAATCCCAGCCAAGCCTAAACTCGAGTTCAACTGACTAGAAAACCCTGAAAACAAGCTCTGAGCAAAGGCTTTGGGGACTGGGCTGCGGCTTTGGATCCTTCCTACCGCAGCTTGGCCGGTTTAGGGTGTATGGGTTTCGCTAAGTTTCTAGGGACCTATGATCTGTGAGGGTTTTTCGCAGAGATAAAAACCCTAAACCCTAAACCCCAAATGAGATACCACACTGTATCCAAAGAGTCCTTGGCGCAGCTTCGGCTTGTAAGCAAGGGTCTCGCTAGTGGGGTTGGGGCATGGGAGCAGACTACTATTTGCTTAAGAAGCACCCAAAAAATAAACATAATAATCCTTATATTACCCCCATAAGGAATATTTTTTTTTATTTTTTGGGGGTTCTTAAGCAAATAGTAGCAGAACCCTAGAAGCACCAACACTCCGAAACCCCAAGCCTTACTCAGTCGGCGTCTTAACCTTTGTTTAACTGTTGAACTCCACGCAGAACTCGAGATAGACCCCTTGTATATGGGACCCCTAGAGGAACCCCGCAAAATCCCCACAGACACGGTACTTAAGCCCAAGCTCGGTGCAACCTTGGAGCCCTACAGCCGGAATCCTCACACCCCCATTCCCCAAATAAGCCGACCACAGAATAAGCGCCCTGAAGAAACCCTGGCTGAGGGTTGGGGGTATCGAGGTACTTCTGCTCTTTGCAAAAGCCCTCTAAACCTGTGATATTGAACTCCACATAGCTGAGTGGAGCCTCAGAGAAGCCTTAAACCCTAAACCGTAGTCAAGCCTGAGGTACTCCCTTATAAGTCCTTAAAAAGGTAGGCTATTCCGGCTTAAGGTCAACCCTAAGCCTCAAATTATCCCTGAGATACTTCTACCTTTGCTTCGTCTGAAGAAGCCCCAGACCCTCAGCCTCAGATCGCCACTGAGGTGTGCCCTGAACCCTGAACCTTATCCCTGAGGTATTATCCTCAGCCTCCAACTATCCCTGAGGTACTTCTACTTCTGCTTCTTCTGAAGAAGCCCCAGACCCTAAATCCTTAACCTTAAACCGGAGGTACTTCTACTTCTGCTTCTTCTGCGCCATGATCACGCACCGGGCAATTCGGGATGAAGAGCGCTGCAAGAGGAAGCCGCCTGGTCCTGCAAGTGGAGATTGAAAGGATGTCCTTTTATGGGTTCCTTTTAGATCTAGTGAGAATAGGTTCTATAGGATTTCTGTTTAAGGGTTCCTTTTGAAGGGATCTAAATAGGTTCTATAGCAGCTGCGGGTGGCTTATGTTTCACGTTCACGGCCGGGTGCCGAGTTTGGGCGTACTTGGAGGGTCGGGGGACTTAGTAAGTAGGTAGTAAGTAGATTATAAGTACCCTAAGAATTACCCTAATTGTGGTTATGGTACTTATAAGTCCCTAAAACAGACTACTTACTAAGTCCCCCGACCCTCCAAGTAAGGTATGCCTGTGAAGGCTCGGGGGGTGAAGGTCGAAGCTTCTGACTTCCGAGTCAGGGCTTTGGGGTTGGGGTTTGGGTTTAGGGTTTAGGGTTTGGGGGTTTAGGCTTTGGAGTTTACTGCTCTGGGGGTTTAGGGCTTTGGGGTTTAGGCTTTGGGGTTTAGGATGGTTTAGGGCCGCTTGGATACTTGGCATTCATTGAGTTCAGACTCTTCGGGCCGTTGGCTTGAGGCTGGCAGGATGGGATCGGCAGTTGGGGAGAAGGAGAACTCTAAGGCCACTCAGGGTCGAAGTATTGGTGGTTTTGTTACCCAAGAAGCACCCAAAGTCCTACAACCATGGGTACTTCGGTTAATGATATAAATCCTGCATTACCCTAAGCACCCTAAACTATGGGAATTATGGTATATTCCTTATCATGGGTCATGCAGGATTTATATCATCAACCGTTGGACCCTCCAGGGAACGAAGTCAGGTGAGACGTGATTGGCAATGTGAGTAAGGCTGCAGCACCGCTGAGCATATGTTAGTCCGCAACCATGAGATGATTCCCACAGTCTCCTTAGGTATTATGTGGTTGTCAAAATTATGGTCCCTTCTTGGGTACCCTAAATACTAGGTGCCGTACTATATTAGGGACCCAAAAAGGGACCATATTTTTGACAAACCACCCATATGTTTGTTTTTGTTCATATAAAACCCAAGAGAATAATACAACTGTCATTTTTGTATGGTTCTAAGGTGGGTATGGGTTCTGTCATCTGCATGCATTTAGTATGGGGGGTCCGAACAACTAGTCAGAATTGTCTAGTCAGAATTGTCGCAGCTGTAGTCCCTGGAAAACTTTTGCAAAGCAGTGAACCCACGAACCCCGTGCTAGTTATCGAGGCCCCGATATCGCCAAACTTGTAGGCCGAAAGATCTCAACTACCGTCAGCGCTTGATCTGTGCTCCCCAGATCATCCGCTACCCAGAGCCTCCAAAACCCCTTAATTAAGGAATATACCTTAAATCATATGATGAATCCTACTATACTTTAAAGGTATTTTCCTTAATTAAGGGGTTTTGGAGGCTCTGGGTACCCCAGGCCCAGAGCCGTTGAACCGCAATCTCCATGTCGGGTCCACTCCCTAAACCGCTGCGCCCAGCCGCCCAGCCCCAAAATCCCGAAAAGAAGGCAATAACTCCCAAACCCCGAAACGCCCGAGGTACGGTGCCACGTGGGACAAGTACCTTCAGGCAGCTCGCCAGGGATCAGCCCAATTCCATGCATCAACTTGCCTGATTTGCCTGCCGGGTTTGCGGGTCTGCGGCCCCAACCGTTCTAGAGGGAGCTACAAGGAGGAACCTAGGCTCATCAGAAGAAACCGGGTTATGCGATGGTACAGTGCCCTGAGTCGCATTTCCGTTTTACAATTGGGCAAAGCAGTAGGAAACGGCAGCAGAAGAAGGGGAACGCAGAAAACATGACTGAACTCTCCGACAAAGTAGTCACGATACCAGAACACACCACAGGAAAGCAGAAAGGCCTTCTCTGGCTTTCTCCGGTATTCATCACGTCTAACCAGTGTGATGAGTATCCAGGTTCCTGAGTATATACTACTCTTTGCCTGTTCTTTTGGGTTTCTGAATTAGAACCAAATAGTAATAAGAAGGGTACAATATTAGAAGGGGGCCACTCAGGAATCTGGGTACACTTGTTAGTCGGTTCATCAACTTCCGCATGAGCGAACACGAGATGCAGCACTAACCATGGCTCGTGAAGCCCTTTAGTACCATTATGGAATTAGGTCCCCAAAGCCATGATATGGATGGTCTTTTGGGACCTAATTCCATAATGGTTCTTTTTTCTGGAGCCAAGGCCAAAGCCCTAAACCCCTAAACCCTAAACCCCTAAACCCTAACCCCTAGACCTTTTGGGACCTAATTCCATCCTGGTACTGTATATGGAGCCTTTGGGTTTCATGTAGTTTCAGGAAGGGCGTTGCAGCCTAAACTCTAAACTTTAAAGCCGACCTAGCCTAACTCTGGTTTAGGGTTTAGGGCAAATGTCATTGCAAGTTGTGGCCAGGCTGTGCCATACCGCCACCTGTCTGGAACAGTAATGCCAAGCTGGGTTGAGGGTTGGGGCGTTCCACGGCTTTGCTACAGGGTCCAAGTAACAGCATCATTACTAGCATAGTATATACTTCTGGGGCTCCAAGTATCTACCATCTCGGCACTTGGACTCTTCGGGTTTAGGGTTAGGGAGGGGTTTGGATCCACGGTACGACGGCCAGTCAATATTTTCTCCAGATTCGAGATCAACTTAGAGGCCCAGGGGACTTAGTAAGTAGATTATAAGTAGGGATAGAAGTACCCTCAGTGAAGTTGCCCCATTTGTAACCCTACTTATAACCTGCTTGCTAAGTCCCCTGGGCCTCCAAGAATGCATCTTTAGGGACTCTCAGGACACTGCATGCATCTTTGCGTGTACTGACTGTCAGGGTACCTGGAATGATGAAGAAAAGGGCACTATCGTTGTTTTTTGCACGGTTCATGGGTTAAAGGGGTTAAGTTGCACCTGGACCCTAAGGAATCTACCTTTCTAGGGTTCCCTAATATGATTTCTTTATATAAGTCCTTAAAAAGGTAGGTTATTCCGGCTTAAGGTAGGGGTTGAGGCCTTGCGGACTCCGGCAAAGGCCCAGCCGAAAGCAAGGCTGCAGCCCCTTGGCTAACGGAACCGAGTCTATCGCATAAAGCTTTCCCGTTATGCCAATGACTGGAAAGTTAGGGTTGCTTTAGAGTTGCTTTAAGGTTTAGGGTTTAGAGTTACGGTTGCTCTAGGTTAATGAAGATATGTGGTGTTGTCCCTGACAATTGATAAGAACTGTGCGCTCCAAGGAGGCGGCAAGCCCAGAATGAGAAAAAACGCACTGGTCTGAAGCCCTAAACCCTAAACCCTAAACCCTAAACCGTTAATCTTTCCATGATCGGAGGCCTCAATAAGTGGATGGAGGTAGGTAGGATGAAGGATCCCTTATATAAGGACTCTCAGTTGGGAGTATCCCACCTAAACCCTAAACCCTAAACCCTAAACCCTAAACCCTAAACCCTAAACCTACCTACCTTCATCCCGCCTTTGGAGCGAAGCCCAGGCTTCATTCCTGGTGTTTGGTGAGCGGCTTCCTGAGTCAACAGTAGAACGCAGGGGACTTGGAGGAATAGATTCTTGAGGTCTTTTGGAAGGGTTCTGCAGGGGTTCTATACATTAGTCTGGGATTTCGAGGAGATGTATTGAACCAAACTGTATAATTAACCCCAAACCCTAAACCCTAAATCTCTGTTTCCTGAAGTCCCTCAGAGTGCTACGCGGCCGGAAGCCAAGCGGGACCGAGAACAGTTCTTGGCGCGCTAAGGCTCGTGGCTGTCCCATCATTTGGAGGTTTCCTAAACCTTAATTAAAGTCAAAGCTCCGAGATCTTTATCCCTTCTTAAACCCTATATATTTGACAAAAAACTATTAATTAAATCATAAACCTACAGACCCTAAACCTTAAACCCTATAAACTCCTAAGTTTCACGCCTCTAAACAATATAAACAAAGTTACACAACTTGCAACCAGAAACCTTAATCCCCATAATGAATACAACCTGAAACCCTGACTTAGGAGCGCCTTATCTACATCTTTGTAGATATGGGAGTTTCCGAAAACAGGGGACCCTAACATGGTACCCGAAATAGCAAGATCCTTATTATACGGACCCTAAAGTAAGGTACCCCCAGTTTTCGGAAACTCCCATATGTGTATACGTAGACTGTATACGGATATGTACAGAGTACTAGTGTGGAAACATGTTCCCAAAGCCACAGAGAGGATCGTCTTTGGGACCCAATTGCATAATATCAGTAGATGTTCGGACCTTCTGGCGGAGAAAGATGCAACTAGTTTGGATACACTTGGAGGGTCGGGGGGCTTAGTAAGTAGGTAGTAAGTAGACTTATAAGTACCCTAAAAGGGACCCTAATTGGGGTTATGGTACTTATCAGTCCCTAAAATAACTACTTACTAAACCCCCCGACCCTCCAAGCAGTGATTGTCGGGTAGGGTCGATTCAGGATTCAGGGATTTAGCCTGTATTGAGGCTGGAGCTCGGAGGATCTCGTGGTTCAGGACTGATTGTTTAGTACAAAGGCCTTAATAAGGGTGTGGGGGTATATCCCCAGACCTTCCAAAATCCCTTAATTAAGGAATATACCTTAAATCATTTTAAGGATCCTACTATAGTTTAAGGTATATTCCCTAATTAAGGGGTTTTGGAAGGTCTGGGTCATACTACCATCATAGTACGGAGCTCCAAAACGCTAGTCTAATTCGTAAGGCCCCTACATTAGTGGTTGAGCGTTGTAGGGGTGGACCCATAGACCCCATGTGGGTTCGTTTTGGGGATTACCTTTTAGAAGTCTAAGTATGCACCCCGAAAAGGAACTACTACCCTAAACCCTAAGCTGGGTAGGGCTAAACCCCCTAAACTACCCTAAACCCTAAACCCTAAATTCCCTAAATTCCCTAAATTCCCTAAACCCTAAACCCTAAACCCGGGGGTCCAAAGCTCCCATTTTCTTGCTAGGGAAGCCTCGGCTAGCAGCACTGACCCTTTTAATTCGCGTGCACTCCACACTGCTGGAGAAGGAACGTCCCCGATAACGCAGCCAATGCTCAAT